TATATATATATATAAAAACATGCAGTTATACTAATCTTGCATGCCACAATTTTTCCATTTGCTCTTTTATTGTCCACATAATGTAACTTGGAATCTGCTCCAGTTTTTACTTGAGGAAACTTGGTTGTCACCATCACTGACTTTGAGGGGTGAAAAAAGTGATGCGCTTTTTTATAGAACTTTGCAAAAGTAGTTTGACTTTTGGGAGAACACTTGAACCTGGTCGTCTGCAGCCGCTTCGCTTTAGTTTAAGCCTGTATTCAGCTCTATCTTCCACCCATGTAGACCAGCTTCCTGTTCGTCTAAAGAAAAGCTTCCCTGCAGCGGGACGCTGCCATGAAAACAGTGATTTACACTGTTAGGGTTCAGAGGTGGACTCTGTTGACTGACTTCTTATAGATTTTTATTTAGGGGCATCAGTTATGGGGGGGGGCTGAGCAGAAATGCACCTATCCCCTCATTTGTGTGTGTGTAGTTTTAATTTATGCACCCTTTTCTTTCAACTTAACATTTATGCTCTACTTATTGTTTTATGACAAAAAAGACAAATGGAATAGATTAAATTAATCTCAGAAATTTTAAAAACGGTCAACCTGATTCAAGTCTGCCTGTGATTAACAGAGACCTCTGTCACGTTATGGTTTTAATCTTCCTTTGATTTCTTTCAGCTTAGCAAACATCCCCCTCAGTCCTGAGACAGCCCAGGACCAGGAGAGACGGATCCGCCGGGAAATCGCCAACAGCAACGAGCGGCGGCGTATGCAGAGCATCAACGCTGGATTTCAGTCGCTTAAGACGCTGCTGCCACACACTGACGGCGAGAAACTCAGCAAGGTGCGTTTTACTGCTCTGCTAAAGATGAGAAGCTGTACTCTAAATGCCAGTTGGTGGATTTTACTTTTAACGTTTGGTGTTAGAAATGTATTTAACCTTCCTAATGCTCACGGGTTCTCTCTCTGCCAGGCGGCCATCCTGCAACAAACAGCAGACTACATCTTTACCTTGGAGCAGGAGAAAACCCAGCTTCTAACCCAGAACAACCAGCTGAAGCGCTTCATCCAGGTAGCGGCATGTACAACGTTTGAGCCAAACTTATAGCCCTGAACACAGAGTCAATTTTTGCATCCAATCCCACAGAAAATTGCGTCAGACGAGGTCGTGGTGTTTAGCACTCATTGAAAGTCAGTGGGGATGATCACAACCAACACAATTTTACACAAGCGGCTTGCATAGATCAGACTGAGATGGAGCTTAGGACTGTTTTAGTTGAATTACGCAGCAATTTAGTGGCGATTTCATGGGTCTAACAGGAAAAAAGACGTGGTTACAAAGTAAAACACATCTGCTTTAGGAGGAAAATACAAAATATAATCTGTTAATCGCACGGAGGAAGAGTCAGTTTTGGAGTCGCATAGAGCACCAAGGAAACAGACTTGTGCGAAAAAAACAATCAATGAAACATTTAAAAAAGAATAATTTACCTATGATATGAGTTTAGGCGGATAGAAAACAGATAAAGTAGTGATTCCCTTTAAGCCTTGCAAAAAACAAAGGACATAATGCGCAGTTTCACTACTCGAAAAAGTAAACTTAAAGAGGACAGAAAATTGATATAGTAAAATATGGATCCTCTTTGAGCAAGGAAAACAAAATATCTAGGTGCAGAGAGAGCAGGCAAATGAAGCTCATCTTTCTCCACTCTTCATAAAAAGAAAAAGAAAAGCAAAAGCTTCAACAAACTTCTCAGATCTTTCTCTGAGAATCAGCTCTCTCTGCCTCAGTCAACATATAAACTGTCCCACAGCGTTCGTTGCTGCGTTTTTCCTTTCTTTAGACGTAATTCTTGTGTTTTTGATGTATGCATATGAACATTCTCTAACTGTTCTGGTTTGAGATGCTGCAAAGACTTGTTAAGTGAAACTTTGCATATAGGATGTGTCTGCGTTTGTATGTATTTTTTATTTATTTTGAAAAACTTTTCAGAATCTGTCCAAGTCAAATTTGGGAAATTGTTTCATTTGTGTGCCACAAAGACAGAGGTGAAAATGATCTGAACAGATCTGTTCATCCTCTCTAGTCAGAGCTTCTCTCTATGCAGTAACTGTGACATGGAACAAAATCGGATCAGACGTTAAAAAGTCAGATTGTTTGTAACCATTACAGATGCATTGGATCCAGCTTGTCACATCAGAACTGCAATCTTCTTCTCACTGTTTCACATTTAAAAGTCAGACTTGATGTTTTGTTTTAATTCAGTGTTGTCCTGAAAATGGAACATGATTAAAGTCAGGATTATAACATTAGTTCTAGATTTTGTGATATTGTTTTTATACAGGTAAGCCAATTTGCCAATGGAATAAAATAATTTGAGTTGAATGTATTTTGAGATTGAGTTTAAAATTAGGAAAAATCAACCCTGTTATTTTATTTCAAGTGCATAATATTTTATGCACTTGAAATAAAAGTGCATAAGGAAAACACATTATTTTGTTTTCCTGCTTAAATTAAACAAATTTGCTTAAAGAAATGTTGGCATACTATGCTCTATTTTTGCCTAAATAGTTTTTCACAGTTGGTAGGAATCCTTTCATGATCGCCTTCAGATCTGCTCTCAGCTCCTTTGACCACAGATGATATAGATTATCTTTCTAGAATATTCTCTCCTTCCTCCATTGGCATCTTCCACTGTAGCAGAGTTTGAGGCTCCTGTTGCAAAAATAACCACAGTTAAAGCTGTAACCAATGATTCTCTCAGTAAATCGACTTTTAAGTCTCAAGCAGGGTAACGACAAAGTCCCAGTTTTAACAACACAGACCTCTGTCAGCTTTTACAGGGGAGTCCGCTCCACTCAGGTTTCTTCTCTTCCCATAAACATGAGATGATTTCATGACGGTCAGAAATATTTCCCAACTGGTGAACTGGCTTTTCTTGTAAGAGAGGGAGAAATCTTTCAGCCAGCTGACTGGCAGTGTGACGAGGGCTTTGGTTCTATGTTTTATTATTAAATGGAGAAACTTGGATCAGGTCGGCGGTTTTTATCTGCCTGAGAGTTTTAAATTGGAAAGAGGATTTTTTAGGGTCGCAAACTGCGGGGTTAATAAACTTTGGTATACTTTAAAAGTCAGTAACCAGGAGAAGTGGGAGAATTCATATATATAGCTATTTTTTTTTGTTTTGGGGTTTTTTGTTTGTTTGCTTAATGAACAAATTTAAATGGGAACTGAATTTAGCTTAAACGGCAAGGAAAAAAAAGACATTTTAGGGGAACTCTCCAAACAACATCAAATGCAGAGCTGGTTTCTTTTCCTCTGAGCGTTCAGCCAGACGGAGCATCTGATGCCTTTGATTGTTTGGAATTACTGACAACAATATAGTTTAAAAAGTCCTCCACCAGAGGCCACCAACTGGTTAGACGAGAAAGGATCTGCAGCAGAACTAGTCTGACAAAAATGTCCCATATCCAGCTGGAGGTTTGATGATTGGCAGGTGTTGTTATTGGAGCGTGTGACTGTGTGTTATGAGCCTTGGTAAGGATTTTGGTAGATCTGATCTTTCCCTCCCTCTCAGGTCCCGTTATTCCTTTAAAAGTCCTTATTCCTGTGTTGGTTTGTTCATAATGCTTGGTCAGGACTTATCTGAAGAATTTACTGATGTACGATTCACTGTTTTCACAGGAATTTAGCGGCTCGTCACCCAAAAGGAGGCGTGCTGAGGAGAAGGATGAAGGGATCGGGTCCCCGGACACGCTGGAGGAGGAGAAGGTGGAGGAACTGAGGAGGGAGATGATCGAGCTGCGGCAGCAGTTAGACAAGGAGCGCTCTGCCCGCATGCAGCTGGAGGAGCAGGTGATCTCAGCTGTGCGTTTAATTATTAAACTTCTGCACTCTCACCCTATATTTAACTAGCTGTGCATGCATGACAGCCGCTCAGACAATAGGCTCTTAACCCACGGTTTAGAAAAGCAAACACCAGAACATAAAACAGATTGTAGTGCTGACACATTTATCAGAGCGGCAGCCGGCTGCTGATTGGATCACATCCTGGATCTTCCTGAACATCAGGTTAAAGCAGCAGGTGCTGCACACAAACAGAAAGTCAAACAGTCAGTTAGAATGATGGGTAAACATTAACGGCTGTATGAGTTTAATCATACTGACACAGCCAGCGTCTCAAATAAAAACGTTGATAAAAGCTTTAGATCTTTAGTCTAGCCCCCCGCAATTTCAGATACAGGTTTATCTGTTATAATGAAATCTAAAGCAGTCATTGCCGTTTGCAGGTGCGGTCGCTGGATGGCCAGCTGCATCCGGAGCGTCTGAAGGTGATCACCCAGCAGGTGGAGGAGGAGCAGGCACTCATCCAGAGCCAGACGCTGCTGCGGCTACAACAGATCCACGCCGCCGCTGCTGAAAGACAGACACACAGTCCTCAGGTCAGAAACCCACTCCTCTAGGTCTGCATGCTGCACATTACTCAGCTTTAGGGCAGCATGGGGCGACGTCTAATCACACCTGACAGCCTCTGCTTAAGCAGACCAGAGAGTGAACCCACTTTCTGAGATCAGACTGTGGTGCAAGTCTCCTTCTGTGTGAATGTGAACCAGCCTCCATGACTTAATGAGTCCGGGACCTGTAGTGACAGTGAATGTTGGACTGAAACTGAAGTCCTTCCTGATCTGTTGTGTTTTACTTAAAGCTGCTGGCAGCCTGTGTTCATCAGCGCTGTTTATAGACTAGAAAGAGAGCGATTAATCTGGACATTCACAGTGAAGCTGCAGCTGTAATAACTGCACAGCAATAAAGCACCCAGGGTTTCCATTGTAGCTGTCCTCCATTTTCCTGTGTGTCTCACATGAATTTGTTTACAAAGTATTATTGATAAATAACGTCCACATTTGGTCCAGGCTAAATGAACCAACCACAGATCCTTCCTGGTCTGAATAAAAAATGATTTAAATTAAAATCCAGGATCTTCAGATTTGGTTTCATTGTGACCTTCTGTCTTTCAGGTGCTGGCTCCACCCACTCCGCCTGCCCCCACCCACCACCCCACGGTCATCGTCCCTGCTCCAACACTAAACCAGCACCACCACGTCACCGTGGTGACCATGAGCCCTTCTGCCCACACCAGCACGGTGTCCACTTCCAGACAGAACCTGGACACCATTGTGCAGGTTAGAGCTTGTTTTACCCTTTAAAAAGGAAATCCAGCAGGTCAAAGGTCAGGTCCGAAGGAGCAGGAGAGGATCCTTTAAGGCTGGTTTATGCTCAGAAACCAGGTCGTCTTCGTGTGTCGCCCCCGTCCCTTCTGCAGACACTCTGCTGCACCTCTCCAAAATTGTATGTCGCTAAAGACAGGAGGCATCTGATTGGTCAAATCTACATCCGCTTTACACTATGTGTATTTCCTGTTTGGTACCTTACTGGCTTGTTGTTTGTGTGACAGCCATTGTGGAAAACGACTCGTGAAGATGGACCAGCTAAAAGAGCGAGGTGCGCGAGAACGCAGGGACCCTTTTTCCACCTGGATCCCCGCTCTTTTTCGCCCTCACGTCCCTCCGTTGTCACACAAACCTTCCCCCACTTCCTCACCGCCTCAGCCATATCTAGACCCACAGCTAGTTCCTCATTGTCTTTCTTGCGTTGTGGCGTGGAATAACAGCGCAGACCAAGTTTCAATATTGGGCATAAATCAAAAATATCTGCTTCATACTGTCAACAAGCTCACTGCGACACACTGCAGGAGTATAACCTGCCCTTTAGAATCAGGTCAGGATCAGGATTCCAGCTCGTCTCGTCCTCTGGTGACTCCTTACACTGGGGATAAACATCTATGAAACCCATTTAAAGCCAGAATAAGTTCCAACCAAATCCTGTTTCACCCGATCCAGAGAAGCAATAGTCGCATTTAAAGAATACACAGTCATGAAGAGCTCCGATTCTGTCATCCGTTTTGAGCATTTTAATACTTGATTATTTGTAATTATTTAAAAAACTATTCAGCTAATTTAGTTATCCATTCTGACTAATTCTTAGACTGCTAAACATGGTGTTTGTTGATAAAGTGAAACTGTACCAGAGAATATAAAACAATTTTATATGAGATGTAAAACCTTTGTTTTTCATGCATGCTCTTTATAGAACATTATTTTGATTTACTTGGTTCAGGTTCTATAACACAAATCTTCTATTTAGAAGCTTTTGCTAATAATTAACACTTACACTGTTGTTTATTTAGAGCCGGGTTCTGGGCATTAAACTTTGGTTTGGTTTTACATATTGTGTTACTTACAGAGCTTTTAAAATGTGCTGGTTTTTAATTGTTATATGTATGGGAATTTAATTAGAGAACCTCTTTTTTTCTTTTTTGTATTAATGAAAAATATAAATAACTCATTAGATTCCCGTACAAAATGTCACCATTTGACTGTTTTTCTCCTGTAACCTTCAGAATCACTTTAGAAATGTAACACGACTCTCAATGCAGCTAACATTAGCTACGAAGCGTTGCAAACTGGTTTGCCTTTTCCTTCAGGGAGTCATGAAAGAAAAGTTACATTAAACTGGATTTATAAGCAGATGTTGACTTTTTAGGGGATTTGGTCTTAAACTTTGGATCAGCCATTGATAATTTTTTTGCCTCCTTCTCCAGTTTCTCTTTCTAAACTTTAAAACCTGGTCGTACCTCAGGTCGTTAATGTCAGTGTTCGATGCGGTCGATGCCGGCTGTTGCTCCTGTGTGATCATGGTGCGCCATCGTGACGATATTCTGTTGGGTTCTCATCCTCTCAGGCCATCCAGCACATCGAGCGTACTCAGGAGAGAAGGGCCAGCGTGGAGGACGAGCAGAGGAGAGCCGTCATCGTCAGCCCCACCCACGTCGCCATGGACACCGCCTGCTCAGACACAGACACGGACACAGAGGGCGAAGACTGTTTGATGAACTGAGCCGCCCCAATGAACTCGTGCCGCCCCCGCTCCACCACACGCGCACAAACACTTAAAACACCTACTCACTGTAAGATTCCCTCCAGGAGCTTGACTACTCTCGTAAATCTGTCCTTGGCATTACCTAAACTCCTAAATCCAGTGGTTTAAGCTCTGCGTCAGGTCTTGTACTGTAATTTTTCTGAGTATTGAAGAGGTAGGAGGGTCAGCGTGCAGAGGAAGATCTGTAGGATCTCTACACTCTGCAGCCACTTGAATAATCCAACGTTTTTCTAGTGAGGGGGAAAAAAAAAACCAAGCTGTCGGCCAATCATGTTTATTCCTTGTGCTTCTCATGCAGCCACAGCGCCATCATAGCCCATCTTCTGTCACTATAACAGTGTAACTACAATCTAATGGAGTCGGTTTATCACAAAGTTGAAGGTAACTGTAAAGTAAACGAGGAGATTCCTTATTAAGATGCAAAACAAGGATTTGTTATTTGTTTCAATATATTTTTAGTGGCTGTGAATTAATTAAGCTAGTATAAATTTCAGAATTTGAAGATATACAAACTCTGATTTACTTGAAAAAGAAGCTGTTTTTCTAACTCTAAACAAGCCCTTGGAAATAAGCTGAATGCCTTTTCAGGTCTTTCAGTTTGGTGGTTTATTTGCTTTGTGTCAGGGTCACCAAAAGCTGAAGGTTACTATTTTTTATAATTTAAAAAAACAACTTAAAAGACTTTTTTTTTTTTTTTTTTTACCACTTAGAGCTTCTTTCTTTATTCTCATAAGAAGGGGAGGGGGGGGCACCAACATGTTTTTAACTTGATATCAGCGCATCGTCTAAAAACATTATGGTGCAGCTTTTTTTTTTTGTAAATATAGGATCAATCCGAGACAGTTTGACTGAATCATCTTTTGAATCTGCAAATATTTCCAATAAATTTGGAAGCAGATGGGCATAAATCGCTTCTCCAGCATTTCCCCCAATAGGCCTGGATCCACCATCTGGTCTCAGTGACTATGCACTAGAGATGTTGGGATTTATGCAATTCCATCTTTTGTACTTCTGTCCTTGTTTCTTTTATTTTATTTTTTTGTGGTTGCCATCATTAATCCATACGGCTAAAGTTCTCAATGCACCGTGTTTGAAACTTGACACGTTTAAACGGAAGAATGTAGTACTTAGGAGGTGTTTGTTTTCAATCATCACCACGGTGATCTGCAGCGAGCTGAGGCCAAACATACCTGCAAAAAGTCCCTTTTTCTTGGTCTTTCTTGCATATTTAATTTCTCTAATTTTACTTTGAACTCAACAACAGAGGAAATAGATTTATGGGGTTTACATTGCAAAATTTATACAATAACTTGATAGAACCAGCAATAGATTCTCGTGATCTGATATAGCTAAAAATGATACAGTGTCACAGTTTTTGCACATTTTCTTTTCTTTAACAACAGCAACAATTCCTGCTGCTGAGATGTGCAAGCTGTCCTTATGCCAGCTTTCTGGCAGGGCACAGAAACGGGTGGGGGTGGACTGCTGTATACTCTGTGCTACATTTGCAAAGTCTAAAAAATTGTTTAGTTAGACTAAAACGAGTAGAAATCCCCTCCTGTAGGAGTTAAATATCAGCACAAGGCTAGGACAGGTTGGAGGTCCCAAATCCCCGTTTGCTTTCATTTAGAAAACGGCAGAAATTATGTAAAAAATATTATAAAAATGTTTTTAAAATTCTGTCTTGTGGCCTTAACTCCTTTTAAAACGTCTATTCCTTCATACAAGTTTAACCAGGTTGTGCCTCCATTTTGGGCATTTCCAAATTTATTACTTGGAGCAGCAGTTTGGGTTGTTGTTTTTCAAGCATAAAAATAATGTGACACTTTGATTAGTTTCATTAAAAAAATGAATTAACTGTTGAATTTAACTGATGATCCCCCAGCGATTGATTTCCACTCATCAGAAACACACAGAAAAGCTCTGAAGAGAATTGCATATGTGCCACTTAAAACCCCCACAGCCCCATACCTCCGGGTTTCTCTTTGAAATGCCCCAAGTCTGTGCACCTCATGTTACTTTGCGCGTGTTTCTGCTGGGACTCTAACTGGAAACCCCTGTTAGGAGCCTCTCTCCTGTCATACTCGATTGGATCCGCTGATTTGATGCTGTAAACATTCCTTCGTTTGGATCTGTTTTTGTCTTTTGATGTTGTGTGTTCTGTTGCCAACCAAATGCATCTTATTTTTCCTTGTCTTAAGTAGGGATTTTTTTTATTTTTATTTTTTTGTTTTGTTTGGCATGTTTGGACTTTATTCATTCATTCACTTACCAGCTGGTTAGAGTAGTTTTTCATGCCAAACATGGGGAGGGGGATTACATATTTTACTCTACAGCTTTGTTAAAGGGTTTAGTGTTGTGCAGATCAGTGATCCACAGCCTAAATGTTGGTGAGCTTACCATTCGGAGAAGCGCCTCACCCTTTGTTCCTCTACATTTGTTGGCAGCACGGCTGTTCTGTGATGGATTTTTAACATTTTTTTATGAATATGAAGCACTTGTTCTGTACTGCCTAAATCCTGTTTTCTGTTCTTTTTCTGCTACATTTTATGTTTTCTAAGCTCTTTTCTGTGATGCAGTTTAACATCTGTCGTCGTTCAGCTGTTTACTTTTATTTTGTCTCCTGTTTCCCAAATTATAGTGACAAGCCTTTTTATATTTTGCGTGACTTAATTTTTTTTTTCTCATCAGTCCAGGGCAATGCCAAGCTGTTATATTTTGTTTATAAAAAAAATTGGGTGAACCGGCCTTTGTAAAAAAAAAAAAAAAAAACATGAAAAAAAATAAAATTTGTACTTTTTTATTACACTTGGTTTTCTTGACTTTTTTTTATCATATGATGCTGTCCACTAGGTGGTGACAATTTTACATTTTAATAAGATGCATCATTCAAGGGAATGTTTAGAAATAACAAATTAACCTACCGGTAATTAGGTTTTGCAAAACATTACTTTTTTTTCCTTGATTCCAAAGAGCTAACACTGCTATCCTGCCATTAGCTCTCCTGTCACAAGACAGCTGATTTGCAAGGAGACAAAAGGTTTAAAAAGTTTTGTTCTTTTTTTTTTTTTTTTTGGTGCAAATGACAGTGATCAATAAATGAAATACTAATATATATTTCAGGCACGTTTCTTATTAAAATAAGCAATTTCTGTGCCATTTTGTCAATAAAGTCACTGTTAAATAGCATTTAATTTCAGCGTTATGAGGGAATGACAGTCCAAATTCTGGCCAAGGGACAAAGGATATGTAGCGAAAACGCTCAATATAAAACCTTGTTTAACATAAGAGAAATAGCATGAATAAAGATGACAGAGGTATTTCTGACTGGGACACCAATTCTTTGATTGGAATCCTGAGTTTCTGTGTTTGAGCCCCACTCCCACAGACTGCCACTCTGGGTCCCTCACTAAGACCCTTAACCCCACACTGCTCTCTAGGCGCTGCACGATGGCAGCCCACTGTTCCCCAAGAGGATGGGTTAAAATGCAGACAGTTAATTTCATTGCTCTGTACTTGTGACAGTGTAATGAAAATAAAAAAAAAAGCTGCAACTGATGGGGATCTGCCCTGTTCTATGGTGAGGGTGCTAATTGGTTATTTTGGCTTGGACTGGACTGGGCTGATCCCTGTGATAAATGTTTGGTTTGCGCCCAGGTTAATAAAAAAAAAGGGCTTTGATGTTTTGTTTTACTAAAGATGAGGACCCAAAATGTGACATAAACCAAACTAATCAATAAAAAGTAAAACAGACCATTGGCTGCAGCTGGAATGAGGAAGACAGACTCAGATAAAATTAAACAGAATGATTGAAAACTCCTTGTAAGGTGCTAATCTTGTCTAGGTTTCAACAAGGGTTTGCCTAAAGATGTTTTTAGAACTGACCTTTAGTTTATACATTCAGATACAGTAGTTATTGTAAGTAGACTTAGAAGCTTTTTGCTGTTTTATGGTTGTGATTTATGAGCATAGACTTCCAGCTTTTGGACCACTCAGTTTAGATATATGAAAATTCCTCATAAAAACAATAAGAGGCCGTAAAAGGAAAACTGAATGAGATTAGATCTGCATGATCTGAGAATGATGGAGGAAGAGATAACCACCTGTTTAATGCTCATTTATTATATTGTTGTTAATTTATTGCTCCAAATATTGTGGGGATTAGCCTTTTCAGTATTAAATCAGATGATCGCAGTAACCCCACTACTTTTTCTAAAAATGGCCAACTTAAAACAGGTGTGTGAAATAAGAATCTTGTTTTAACTTTAAATTTTAAGTTTTAATGTGTTTTCAAACACTAATGTGTTTGAAAGGGATTTTGATTGTACTATGTCTCTGTTTTAGATTAGTGCAAGATTAATAGAAGAGGAGACGAAGAAGATTAGAAGATTGAATGAGAGCAGAGAAGCAAAAAAAAAAATCTACTTAAAAGAGTTAAATAGAGACCAGGCAGAAGTCAGAAGAGAGCTAGAAAGAAAAGAAGATGGAGAGGGAAGAATACAGAAAAGAGTGAACGTGGCACTAATAAACACTATCAATTGATCAATTTTATCAATCTAAGGAAATACTAATAGTATGGAGAGGCACAGTTCTGGATTTTACACTTGATTATTGTTGTTTAAATATTAATAAATATGTAAAAATAGATGACAGCATCATATGTACAAAAAAAAATACAAAAACAAAAAAACAATATTCACCAACACCAAATGGCTGCATTAAAATCTTTATCATCTTGGTACTTTTTTCTATTTTGTTTCTCACTAAAAAATTGCAAACATTAAATTCTCTATTTTCATTTGTATGATTATGGCTTACTGTTAATAATCACAAATTAAATAAATTACAAATATTTATTTATTATGCATTTAAATTTTTTTTGTCAAAGGTATCCGCCCAGCCATTAATATAAACAATATCTGGTGTTTTAATCACTTCCATGGTCACAGCTGTATAAAATCCATCATCTATACATAGGTGTAACTTTATTTGTATAATGCAATTCAGTACAAGGACAATTCAAAGTGCTTTACATTAATTAAGCATTATAGAAGGGAAATAAAAGCAGGATAAAAACAAACAAAGATAAAAGCATGACCAAATCAGGCAGTGTAAAGGTTGGACCACAACCTTAAACTAAAAATACCTCAGTTAGCAGTTAAGTCAGCTCTAAACAAATTAGTTTTTTAACTTTGACTTGCAGACATGAATGGTCTGGGAGGTTGATACACTGACAACAAATCTGTTATTTATTTGCTGCTGATCCATTCAGTGATTTACAGACTAACAGAAGGATTTTAAAGTCTATTCTCTGAGCTACAGGGAGCCAGTGTAAGGACTTCAGAACCGAGCTGATGTGCTCTACTTTCTCAGTTCTAGTGAGAACCCTGGCAGCAGCGTTTTGGATCAGCTACAGCTGTCTGATGGACGTTTTAGGCAAACCTAGAAAGACACTGTTGCAGTGATCAATTCTACTAAAGACATATGCAAGAACTTACTTGTACATTAGTCTTTTAATCCTGCAAATTATCTTCAGAAAAAAAAAGGCTGACAGAGTAACTGCTTTTATTTGCCTCTGAAGGTTCAGGTCTGAGTCCATCCTGACACCAAGGTTTCAGCCATAGTAGTAGCTGAAGCTGTGAGCTAACTCTGGATCTCTCTTCAACTGGTTTGAAGATTATTACCTCAGATTTGTTTTTTATTAAGTTGGAGAAAATGATGGCGTATCCACATATTGACCTTTTCTTAGCATCTAACCAAATAATTTTCACCTGGTGACTTTCTGATGTAAAGCCGTGTGTCGTCTGCACAGGTATGGTAACTGATCTTGTTTGCTTTAAGTCAATGGGAGCATGTAGATGTTGAATGTGGGGAAACATAGAAGTCCCTATCCTTCATGTATCCTTAATGTTTAAACAGTCCAGTGTGGTAAAAGGAAGACCGACCCAGTTTTCCAAGCTCTCTAGTACAATCAAGTGATCAACAGCATCAAACGTTGCCTTCAGGTCCAATAACACCAGCACCGTGGTTCTTCCACAGACTGAATTTATACGGATGTCACCTGTAAAGTTTCCTCACTCTTAAATAGCCCTCTGTACAATCAGTGGTATTGTAACTACAGTAGGTGGATGTGGTTGTGAATGACTTCAGTAGTCACATACAGTGGTATGCCACATTAACTATGAGCATGAGCAGCAGACGCTGAGGTCTAGTGAACTCAGACCTCCAATCTTGACTTGGCATTCAGATTTTCTCAGGAATATGCATTTAGTACTTAGTAGATTTGATTTGCTTGGCTGAGTGCCTGCATCCAAATATGACATCACCAGGTACTTTACAAGGTGGTGTTAAGCACACTTCCATTGGACCCTAGAGCAATGGAGGGCATTCTATGGAGGGTTCAATCACGCCTCTTTATCTGACAATCTGATGTTTAAGTCTTGGTTTGGTGGTTGCCAGAAGAAAAGTTCTTGTCTGACTACATGAATGTAGTGATTACGTTGTGGAGTTGTTTTTCAGGAGCTGGGATTTATCGCCGAGTTCCAGGGAACAGAAAACTAAATTATTCAGAGAGATATCAGACAACTCCATGCTCCCCTCTTTGAGAGAGCAGTTTGGGGATGGCCCCTTTCTCTTCCAACATGTCTTTCAAAGATATGGATGACCATGACTAGACTTCATAGCAAAGTCCTGGCCTTAACCCAAAATAACATCTTAAGGATGAATTAAAGATGAGTCAAGCCCTCTTTTCCAGCTTCAATCTATAACCTCTTTAAAGGTCTCTTGAGGAATGTTTAAATATTCCAAGAACCCTGTTACTAAACCTTAGGGAGAGCTTTTCTAGAAGAGTTAAAGCTGATATAGCTTCAAAGGGTGGACCAGCGTATTACTGAACTCTGTGGATTAGGAATGAGATGTAACCTGAGTGTATTTGTGAGCCCCAGCAGGTGAGTTAATACTTTTACATAGAAAGCTAAGTGTTGTAGGAAGATGTGCCCCATAAATGACAACCACAGCATTGAGAGCACTGTTAAACAGAAATAATTTATAGATTTGGGAATTTTCAGAGCGTGCACACGAGGGAGCGTGGTAAGGGAAACTATGTACAGATATGGGCTACAAATCTCAGAAATCCTCGTGTCAAGTCACTTTTTAACCAGACTTCTCTCTTACCTTACAGTCCACTAGGATCAAAAGCAGACTGTATCCAAAATCCTCTACTTAAATGAAAGTAAAGTTAAGATGCAATTTGTAAAAAAAAAAAAAAAAAAGGTCCTGGAAAAGAGACAAAGGAACCACATTGTCCTCCGCTGTTTTCTGACATCCACAGTCAAGGCAGCCATCTGCCAGAACCTCATGCTTCCTTCTGCTGATTGGCTTTATCCAGATGATGGTTTCATTTTTCCACAAGACATGACACTGTTTAATGCTGCCAAAGGTACCAAAAGCTTGTTCACTTGACTGACCAACAGGTCTGATCTGAACCAAATAAAGATGGAGTACTGAAAGATGAAAGATACCAAACCAACAGTGCAGATGACCTAGAGTCCACTATCAACCACTCTGGGCCCCCGTTAGCCCTCAGCAGTACCACAGGCTGCCATTTCCGGCCACACTGATGCAGTAACTTATTCAGAAGAAGGGCAGCCACGTGTTGGATGTACTGTACGGAACTTTTGAAAAGCCTGATATTTCTGTTTGAAATTTCTTTTCTTTTCCCATTGATCCAATATATGTTCCAACTTTGTGAGATGCTAAACTTTTGGTTTTAATTATCTGGATCCAATAGTAATCAAAATGTGTAATGATAATAAATAAAGACTTGAAAAACTTCACTCCATGTGCAATGAATATGTATCACTTTCCTAAATGAATGACGAAACATTTTGTCGGCAATATTACATATTTTGTAGGTGTGTGTGTAATTATAACGTTATTATTGGCTGATGGGAACTGAAAAATCTTTAAACTACGTTTTAATTGGCCTATCAAATAAATGGGAATTAAACAATCAAAACAACACTTGAAATTAACCTGGGTGACAACAGGAAGTCAGCTAGAGGATGTCAGAATGGGACACATTGTGGCCCAGTCTAAAATTTAACAATAATTAAGAGGCACAATAATGTATCTTTTAGCCTAAAAAGAGTTAAAGAGTCATGAACTACAGTGAGATCAACAAATGGAGAAAACATGGAATAGTGGCGAACCATCCAAGGAATGACTGACCTACCAAAATGAGTTGAAGAGCAAATCAAGGACTTCACATTCATTATTCAATATTAGATAAAAATATCTGCAAAAATTGGCACAAATTGAATTAAAACCTCTGGAGGAAAGGTGATCGATATTTACGTTCCTTCCCTTCCTTAACCCTTGCTGAGCAAAATGAAAATCTTACATATGCGGAAAAAAAAACACATCCTGAGACTTCCTAAAAAAAAAATTCAGTGGACTGATAATAAAAAACTGGAACTGAAACTTAGATGACTTTAAGCCGGTCATCCTCACAAAGTTGCCACATGTAGTTATTGGGTTTAGTGGGATTTTTAGCTTTTTTTTTTTTTACAAAGTAGCAGGTTGGTTTGCATATAAAACATATAAAAATGTTGTTTAAATTTACTCCACAACTTTTTGTTTAATGTTAAAAATGGATCTAAAACATAAAGTTGTGACAGATAAGCAAAAACAGAAATCCCCTAAAGGACAAAAGATACTTTAATGGTATTGTATAATGACGACTTTAGATATCTTTGCAGAAGCCTACCCAGACAATGTTTTTTTTATATATTTTTTTAATATATTTTGGTCTGGGAAAAACCGACGTTCCAGTTAAGTTCACGTTTTAGCTGTTCACGCTTACGTTCAAGCTTTAAACTCTCTTTAAACTACAATCCCTTAGCCTCTTCCTGCTCTGCTCCCATCAACACTGCTGATTGGACCAGGCAGCTGTTCCAGCACTCAATGAGTGCAGCTGCTGAGGACCTCTCCATTGGCGTGCCCTCTGACCTTTAGCCACAGTTGTATATATATCTGAGGGAGACGATCAGCAGTCCTCTGGCAGCCAAAATGAAGCTTGAGGTGACTACGTGCTGCTTGCTGTGTCTCCTGGCTCTGTCGGCTGCAGGTACGGAGGCCGCTTGGATGAGATATATAGACTTACACAAACTAGGTTTTTGTAATGCTCTTGGTTCAACCAGAATGTTCTAAAATGATTCAAATGAAATGTCCTCTGAATTTATTTGGCATGTCACCATTTGTCTATGTCTTCCTAACAGCTTGGTTGAATTTGTGGCTTATTGAATCAGACAAAAAGAAGAAAAACATAAGCTGAAATCATTTTTCTTAATGAATGCTCTCTTCAAATCTGCAGTTTTGCGTCTTGGAAATACTTAGCAACTGCCCTGCATTTGATTTGGAAGAATTCGGGATAAATGTGTTCAGAAATGGTCCACCTTGGTTGTTTTAATGCATTTTTATTTGGAACTTTATTGGCTTGTACTTTAAGGCTGAAGCTGAGAACCTCCTTGCCTGTCCTTGCACAGATTCATTTTGACCCCGACAAACCATTGCTGTTAGGTGTCAGGAATCTGTCAGACTAAGTCGTCATCAGATACAGCGTTTAAACTGACATGTGTCCTTTCCAACCTATCCATAGACATCATGTTATATTGAGAGAAAAGGATTGTTTCAGGGAAACCTTTATAGAAACAAGACAAGCATCAAGCTCTGCACTTACTTCCTACATCGAATTAGTGTTCTGTATAATGTCTCAATAGGGCTTTGTCTGCTCTGCCTGCAGAGAAACTAATCTGCCATGCACTCATATTCAATCATACTCTGTTTCACTGTGGCTTGTTTAATTGTGTCCATATGCAGAGTTTATGTAATCTCCATGTGGTTGTTGTTCTTGGAGGAGATTCTGAGTCATTCACGGTTGCAGCTCCTGCAGGCAACGGGTCAGTCGGATTGGAGTCCGGCCTCATGACAATCACAGACAAGCAGAAGAGCGTCACACCTCCTGTAAATAGAAATGGAATTATCCCTCCTTCTTTTCACCCTCTGACTCATTGTGGGACTATTTCTGTGCATCCAGTACCCAGGCACCTGTCCCGCTCTGTCCCCACAGCCCTGCGGGACATAGCGTCAGGACAGCACCCAGGCCTCAATGTTAGGGTGCTGCCTGCAACTCAGGCAGCATTTCAGGCAACTGATCAGCACCAACTACATATGCATGCATTTTATCTCAAGGTTCTTGAAGTGAATGCAAGGGTGATTTTTGACTAATTGAATGGGAAAGAGCTGGCAGGTCTCATGACTGGGTTTAGGTCTGGGTGGTTTGTTTGTCACTTTAGCTGTTTATCCGCTCAGATTGCCCAGATTTTTTTTAAAATATGTCTCGCTAAGTCCGATAAGGTTGTGTCTGAAAACAAAAACATTTTCCTCCGATTATCATTTTTATTTTGCGCCATGCGAATAGAGTAATGTCCATCCAGCTATAAAACTAATGAAAAAAATAGATAAACCTGACATCAATACTACAATCTTTATCACAGATGAAATCATGTTCACCTTAGTATACCAAGAAAATTGATTTGAAAAGCCATCTAAACCTAGGCTTATTTTAGGCAAAACAATGTTATCACTAGCTTTACGTGGAAAATTGTTGTTCAGTGTTTGTCATATATTAGTAAAGAAAAAAAATCTGTCATTGTTAATCCATATGTTATTTAAACTGCATTTTATTCGTTATATGATGTTAAGAGCCTTCTGAGGGAGATTCAAAAAGTATATTTTTGAAATTTTATCAAAAACCTAAGTGGTTACCAGGTAGTCATCAATATATTAGCTGGATAATTATTTCATGAGGACCCATGTTATTTAGTAAATTATTCTATGTTGCTTTACATACCTTAAAAAGAATTCACTTCCCATTAACATTTTTACATTCTATCTCATTAAAACATAAGACAATGTACTTCTGTAGATTTCCTGTGACAGACCAATACAAAGTTGTGCATCTGTACTTTGACTGGACCATTCTGAAATTCTGAACACAAATATTCCTTCAGTTAAACTTTTCCGCTGCAGCCCTCACTGTATTAGTAATGGCTATTGTCCAGCTGATGGGTAAACCTCCATGCCATTCTCAGGTATGGTGCAGACTCTAGAATTGCATTCCCACAGCATGATGCTGTTATATTAACTGGGTGACCTCTGAAGGTAGTTATTTACAATGAATTTTATTCAGGAATATTATAGTACGTACATTAATGTCATTAATGTTTGCAGAAAAGTCCTGAACCCGCCTCTAAAAAAAAGTCCTGAACCCTCATCCTAAAAGGATGATGTAGAAATAGAAAAACCAGGATTGTATCAGAGCAAATGGGGTTTGAATACTGACACTCTTCATTTTCATGTAGTTTGTGTGAATACTGTTGCAAGAGACTGCAAATGCTCAATATTTTCCTTCTGAAATACAGCTAGAAACTCTGAAATCGCTTGTAAACAAAACTCTCTTCATGCTCCTAATTATTGATTAGTATAGGAACAGATTGTGGGGCTTGATGCAGTTTAAAAGATTAGCCACAGTTAAATAAATCAAACTGTAAGAAAACAGAGATGGAGAGAAAAATAAAAAAGCCATTGTCCTCATTCACTGAACCCAGACGCTGGACAGAATCAGTACTGCGTTACGGATTATTCCCTCTCATATTTTCCTCTCGAACTAATTTAGATTTCGCCACAGCTGTCAACACGGCCGACTAAAAGCTTTCTTGCTACCAAGACGTCCAATTTGCAGAGAAGCATGGAGCCTCAGCATACACCTTCATCATACTGCGTATAACAGCTGTGAAAATCTAAGTTCTGACTTCATTCTACCCTCAGTGACATAGACAGATCATAGTCATATTAAGAGTAATGAGGGGAACAACACAATAGAGGAGCAGATTAATTTCAGCAACTACTGGTATGTAAAACCTTATAACTTTTTGTTCATTAGGGAAATCTCAGGATCAAGTTAGCATGCACATGATGCCATTGCACCAGCCTGGACTCTCTCCAAACCTCTCACATGGGCCAGAGAGATCAGGGTTGAAGCATGCCGTTCAAACAAAGATCAGGTTACTGCTCACTGGCTGCCTTACCTCGCTTGACTCATTCAATTAAAGGTACCTACAGTACACTTAAGACTGCCTAGGATTAGCTTTATAAGAACTCGGAGAAGACTGTAAGGATTTCTGTTCAACACCTGGTACCTCTTTACATATTTAAACAGAGTTTACTGAAATATTTCAAAGTGGATTTGGGTGATAAAGAAAATCTAGACAGTTTTCTGCCAATTGACAGTTGGAAAAAGGGTACCAGCCCAAGCAGGATTACACAGGTATAAACAATGAATGGAGGAGTCTTAGATCAGAGTTCAATGGCTGAATAAGGCAAAAATATTTCTCTAAAATGTAGACTGGTATTTTTCTGGAAATGATGAAGATATATTTATTTAGGATGGCAAGAGAGTGTTTCCTCTGGAAAGCAAGATATTAAAAAAAGAATGACTCAAGGCTTGTACTAAAGATTATTTTTAAGGCTATATTAACAGATTCAATGTGTCTCTGGGAAATTGAAATGTAGGCATTACAATTTTTTTGGACTAGATAAGGTCATTTTTCAGAACACACTTCAAGGACGTGTCCTTTGTCACTACTCAAGGTCAGAAAGATATAAAACTTTTAGTCTGTATGTTTCGCCAAATTTAGCCAAAAAAATGATGATGTGCTAGCCTATTTGATCAACCCCATCTTCCACTGAACCTCATCTGGATATCAATAAATCTTTTTTGGTTTATCACTTTAATGCGTTTAACCAGAAGTTTTATGTCTACTTGTAGCCCAAAACCCGTGCAAATGGGAAGCCTGGGTTAGTATCCCAACTGGGGGAAATGAGCTGCCAGTGTGGGTCCTTAGGCAAGATCCTTCACAGTAATGCCTGCTTTGGGGAGTGGTGGCCTCATGGTTAGGGCGTTGCGCTTAGAATCCTCACTCCAAATGTTTTGTCATTGTCTTATTTCTATCTCCTCTTTCTTACCATCTTTTCTCTTTATTTTTTCTTTTTGCCTTTTTCTTCTTCGGTTTTTCTGCTCTATTTACATTGCAGTGTCTATATTAACTATAAAACTCCCTGCATAATTATAATAAAGCAATTTATATGCATGGAAACAAGTGGAGCAATATGGCAATTGCCATACTGCGACACTTGTGAAAGTAAATCTGTTGGGGTCTTTTTGGCATCAAGACAATTATTCTTATTGCCACATTGCCAGACAGGAAACTGTATAAAAAAAAATAAAAAATAAAAAAAAGAATCCTCACTCCCAAAGATCGCCACTCTGGGTCTCTGAGCAAGACCCTTAACCTTATGTGTATATATATATATATATATATATATATATATATATATATATATATATATTGCTGATAGAACTTTGAAAATTCACTATTTTCTGTCCTAGATATCACTGAAATAAAATCATTGTTATGCTGACTTTCCCTTTGAACTTAGAATACATACATTTTATTAGAACTGTCCACAAGGCGTGTATAATAAAAATACTTCAGAAAATAACAACATCAGAGTAATGCAGAGCTATCTTCTTTTTGAACTTGTTCGAGTTTTAAGTTGCAGCTTAAGCTGACTACCCCTTAGGGACGTGCTAAGCCAAAAACCTTTAAGCCACAGGAGGTGACAACAACATCATGGCAACCCGTTGGATGTGTTTTAATTTAGGGGCAGAAAGAAGAGCAACCTGGACAGCACTCAGGGGGCCGGAAGGTACATGATGTCCTAATGGTCTCTTCCATGACTTCTGGGGGAGCATTTACTCCTCCTTTGAGGGTTAAAATACAGAACTTCTCCACTAAAGAGCAGTATAATCTGGTTTTATGACTGTTATAAAAGAAGGGACTCTAAGGAGGCTTAATAGAACACTGTCATATTCCAAGAAACGTGAATGTTGGTATCCTAACATTTGGTTTTCAAGAAAACCAAACGGTTGAAACTCATATTCAATATATTCATATTCAAGCACATTTTATTTATCAGTACATATTTACACACATCCACTTACAAAAAAATACCAGGAAGTCTTACAATGACCAAGAAAAGATGTTTCTTTAGTGGTTCATTTGGCCCTTTGACTCAGTTGAGTCTTACTTCATGAAAATGGTAAACAGTAAACTGAGAAAGAGTAGCCAACAAAGAGGCATATATACAAAAAAGGTTTCCATTAGAACTCAAAGAATTAGTAACCAAATACTACTGACAACACATCTGACATCTTTGACAACTGCCAAAAGTTTGTATTCCTCCCCCCTCATAGTGAATCCATCTGGTAACATGAACTGTAGACATTCGTTTAAGTATCTCACATCACACTCTGTACCGCAAGCAGTTAAATTTAAATGCAGGTCACCAACTTTTGGTCTTTGTACATCGTGGCAGTCAATGATATCCAGCACAGCTCCATGTGTTGGAATGCCAGGGGAGTCCCCTGCTTTTAGATATTATCCTATAGAAGCCATAATGGCTGAATTTCAGCAGCTGTAAGTGATTTGTAAAAGCATGGTAACAATGTTAAAGTTTAAGTGTATCTTTAAATATAAAAAAGATGTTACTTTACTCATTAGTATAAAGCCTCTGCAGGCGGTCTAGAAAACCGAAGAGTGTGTGGTCTTCCATTAGCAAAAACCAGCACACAGTACCTCTGTTCATTGCACTTCACTGGCTACCCTTAGCTACTTGGACCAAACTCAAGATGTTTCATGGCCGTGCCTAGGGAAGCTGACCCTACAGGTTATGAACAGGACCGGTGACAGAGGGCAGCCCTGCTGGAGTACAATGTACCCTGGGAACAGGTCTGACTGCCAGGATGAAAGACGCAGTGCTCCTCTTCGACAATCAGCTGGACTCTTCTCTCTATAGGCTAAGGTTGAGAAGTGTGACCCCCGTGAGGCTGGAACAAACTATCCAGTCATTCCATAAAAATTCAAAAAATATATCCACTGGACTTGGTTTCCAAGATTTGAAGACGTTTCGCCACCTCTCCAGGAAAGCTTCCTGTCTGCCAAGACAGCCCAGCAACATCTGGAGACCTAAGCAGCATTTACACTACCGTTTTGAAACCTTTCCAAGGAGGTCAGAGCCTGTAACTGAGATAACCTGTCGAGTGTAAATGGAACGCAACTGAACTGAACCATTCCAGACACAACCAAACCGGGCTAAATCTAGTACTGGTTCAACAGTAGGGCTAGGCATGCTTCAGTTGTCTCGGTTCTCTGATAACAAAGACCGCATAAGCAGACTGCATCATTTCCTATTTACAGTCAGCTTCCTCCTTTTGCGGTTTTTCAGGTGTGTCCGGCTTCACATATCTCTTCACCTGTTCACAACACAAAGTTCCTCTCAGCTTATTAACAATAAAGGGCATCAAAAGAGCGTGGTGTGACCTGGAATCATGCAGAGACATAGGATCTTATTGAAATTTGGGCAGAGGACGCAATCCAGCCACATGAGTTCCTGAATGTTATGGGCGCCGCCATTTTTGATTGTGTTATTCCTGTCTTGAGTGCTGTAGTATCATGGACCACCGATAGGAGGCCAAGAACTGCCCTAGTGTGATGTGTAAATGGTCTTGAGATGCAAGCTCTGCACAGTTAACTGATCCAAGCTCAGTCCGAACTCGACAGGGATCTGTTTCAGAGGGGTAGTGTAAATGGGGCTCTGAGGTATTCAGGGCAGGTCTTATCCATTGTTGAGTTTTTTAATAATTTCCTTCAGCCTGGATGATGAACTAGTCTAACCCTATCTGTTCTTCTGCCACGAAAGGTTGTCAGCCCAGTTTAGGAGAATCTCAAGGGAATTTGTCGCACTGTCCGTATTCAAGATTAGGAGCTCCCCATTCCAAAAAAAAGCATTATTAGTCAAGCACTGTTACCGGAGGCAGTGAAGTCTTTCTCCAATGTCTCCCAAAACTCCTCCAAGGCCCATATTTTTTCCCTATGTGACCGCTTTGGCAGCAACATGCTTGGCCTCACTGTACTTGCTGCTGCCTCAAGGGTCCCACAAGCCAACCGAGCTGAAGTGAGCTGCTTCCTCAGCTTGGTTCTTCAGGGGTTGCTACTGCACCAGACACAGCAGGCCTTACAGGCACTGCTATGGGTGGCCACATTAACAATAGAGGCAGAGAACAGGGTCCTTTCAGACTTCACCTCCCTAGCTTCCCCTAGAACCCTGAAAGGACTTCCCTTTTAGATTATTGTGGAAAGTTTATGTAATTTAAGTTGGAAATTGAATACGTACCCAACGAGGACTCTGACAAACATTCCCAGCAGACCCTCATTAATCACTTGGACCAGCCAAGTCTGTTCACCTTCCTTCCTTGCAGAAGTTTGCAAGATACTACTACGAAGTAGGGCTGGTCGATAAATCGAATCAATTTGATTAATTCATGTTTTTAAAAGTCCACGATTTCAAATTTTGCTAAATCGTAAAATTGAGGATGTCTCTTCTTCTGCATTTTTTATTTGCTGCTCCGTTTACTCACGCCATCGCTGCCACTCAATCTGAAGAGTTGGTACTGAGAAAAGGGACACGTGTTTCGTCAGTTATTTGGAAGTGGTTCAGCTTTGACCAGGTCAATGTGGAGCAGACTACAATAGTGTGCAAATAAGTTGTTTCAGCATCTCCTGCAAAGGCACCCCACAGAATGGGAGCAGCGCTCGTAGATTTGGGATTGTAGCGTCGGTAGCACTGGCAAAAACAAACATGACCAAGACAAGAAAAGACCACAAACCCTGGCCGCCTCATTTTCTAAAGCAGTGCTGACCGGCAAGTGTAGTGTGTGGTGGAAGCAGATTACTAACGCTGTAGCTGGGATGGGCATGGTTCCCATTTACATAGTAGAGAAGCCTGGCGTCCTTCACATGCGAAAAGTGTGTGATCCAAAATATGACCCGCCGAGTTGCAAATATTTTGCGGAGGTTCTGCTACCAAAACTGTACAACCAAACATAACAAGCACTCTGTGAAAAGTTGGAGTCTTCTTTGTTATTTGCAACTACTACAGACCTTTGGTCCAGTCGATCTCGTTAGCTGTACATGAGTTAAACTGTTATATCGACATGGACTGGGCTCTCAACAGCTCCTGTTCACAAACCACCAACTTCCTAGAAGATCAATACAAGTTGTTGACTGTTCGATAAATTGCACATTTCAGCAAATTAAGCTCTTTTTTCTTGCACTTGTACTGAATATATAGGTGTATATTTTTTACTGATAAAAAATCTGTACATTTATTGTTGAGTCAACATTTATGTTACTTGCAGAAGATTTATGTTATGAATATTTAAGTTTTAATTTTTTTTTAGAATACATTTATAATTGGCTAAATATTTGTATACTTTGCAAAATATATATTTTTCATAAAGTAAACCTATTTTAAAATATATGCATGGAGTTTTTAATACTTCAATTAAAACCGATTGAAATCATAATTATCCAAGATGACTAAAAAAAATCAAGATTTTATTTTTTTAGCCATATCGCCCAGCCCTACTACAAAGTCGATCATCGACCAGTGACCAAGATGCTGCTCATAATCTATGAATTGCACAGAAGTCAAAGAATGAAACACTACTCGGCTCACAGCCGGGGGTCCTTTCCTCACTATCATGCCCCTACAGGTGTCACCGTTGTTTCCCATATAGGTGTTAATGTTTTACATTTCACATCCCCAGAGCCAGTATAAATGTCAGTGGATCAGGTCCCCAAGGCCTCTGACTGCTGCCCAGTCCTCTTAGCACCAGTCCCTCATGGGTCCACCTGCAGGTGTTTGGCCCACTCACTCCTTTGGGCTTAGTCTGGGCTAGTCCCGAGGACCACCAAGCACCACCAAGCCCGTCTCCAGGGTGAGCTCCCCGCTCTGCCGTACAGGCCAACGTCACCTGCCTCAATTTTGTAGTTTTCATAAGGGCTTTTTTGAACCACTCTTTGTCTGAACATTTGTCTGGAACCTGTTAGCTTGGGAGATCTTACAAAGCCTCTGACAACATAGACATTTTATTACCAAAGCCCTGAAAGCCTTTCAGCAGCTAAAGGGACAGTTCAAGGAGAGGGAGTAGCTCATTATTAGTTTTGATATGAATCTTTTTTACATCTATATCTTTAGACTGTTCTGGATAAAATCATCTGCCTAAGGCATACGCATGAAGTTGCAACTTATCAATTAGAATAATAAGTATTTATTTTTAGCAACAAAATTTCACTACAAATAAATTAATTTGATTTACACAGAGGTGTTCAAGGCTCTTTTATGCTAATTGTAATGGCTTTCTGCTTACAGCAAAGGAAAATGCATAGCATTCCTTTGAAAACTAGAGTATTACATTTAACCAATTAATAAAACAGGGCTAAAACAGTGGTGTGGTTTGTGGCACCCTTGTCATGCAGCAAGAAGATACTGGGTTAAACTCTTGACCTAGGGTCTTTCTGTATGGAGTTTGCATGTTCTCCCTGTGCATGGGTGGGTTCTCTCTGGGTACTCTGAATTTCTCCCACAATCCAAAAATATGAATGTTGGATGGATGGATGGATGGATGGGTGGATGGATGGATGGATGGA